GATGTTGGGTTGTTTTACTTTGAACTTGAATTATTTGATGGCATTTTTTGAACAAATTGAGGGATTGAGAATGAAGTGGCCATCATTCAATTTGTTCAGTGTAATTTGAATTGTGTAAATTTTCTAACTTGCTATGTATTTTCCTTCTCATATCTATGTGGATTCTATTTGTTAAGTCATTGTGTTTCGATGGGTCTATTCATTGTAATCATATGGGGAGCTAGAATGTAGCATTGTTTAACAGATAATTTGATTTTGATGGCAGTTGGAAGGTAGTGATGACTTTGAAAATGTTTTCAAAGAAATGGAAGAGAATAATATATGCAGAGGCAATTCTTTGCTCTATGAACTGTACGCGGGGTTTCTTGAAGCAAAAGAGAATTGGAAGGAAGCATATATGGTTTATCAAACTGGCATTTTAAGGTTGCTTCCTCTTGTTTTCTGTGTCTTTCTTTGTGTACTTTTTTGCATGTTTCTTTGTCATTGATATTGGGTGGTTGATTTAAATCGGGATGACAGGAAAGCAGAACCTCTTGAGAGGTTGGAACGTGCAAAAGTCTTATTTCTTGATAGATTGTCTTACAGGATAAATGCGTCTTCACTTCAAAAGGTATGCATACTGACCCAGGGAAAGAAATTATGCTTCCTTCGGTTTTTCTTCTGGTTTTCCTTTATTCATATGTATCACAGGCTAGGTAAGTGACTTGAAATTCATAAACTTAAATTCAGAAGAAACTTGGTATGTTCTGCAATCTTTTTTGTGGTGGGTATATCAATGCACATTTTACTTCTTGATACAGAGGAGTATTTAGTGCCTCAATATAACAGGAGTGCTAGTATACTTAACGCTATGCCAAATTGTTTGAGTGAGTCTATTGTTAATGAAACACAATCTTTTTATCTTTTTCTTCCTTTTCCTCTAGTTGTTAGATATCATTTCTCTAAGTAAGATTGCCATCAACTTTTAATAATTTCTTTGTACTTTCTCTTACGTGAACAACTGTATCTCAAGTAGTCATGTTTTTTTATGTGACCTTTCTTTTATGATCTCTAACAATACATGCTTGAAAGTCAAAAGCATGTTCCTTTTAAAGTTTTAACTTCAGATTTTAGCCTTTCCATAATCTAAGTCATGATGATGATGGGCAAACCTGGCTGATGGTGTTATCATTTATTTCCCCTTTCCTTGTCAGAATATATTTTTATCAAAGAGTTGTTTAGCTTGGATTGGTATACGTAGGCTCTCTAAAGATTATATTATTTTGTACTCTTCATTTACAGACCGATTACAATGAATCCATGGAAATGGAAAAAAGTTGTGTTAATCCATGGTCAGCCTCCACCACAAAAGAGTTGTTGGAGAGGATAAATCCTCAAATGATGAAATATGCTGTAAGACAATTTGAAGATTAGCAACTTCCTTTGATTGTTGAAATTCATTGATTGGTTGCTTAATATTTTTGTTTGCTTTGATAAATTAAGTTTCTTTTTGCTTGTTTTAGGGATACCATCCAAGCAAAAAAGCATACTCTGGAGACGTGGCTTTATCTTCTCTACAGAATTCATCAAGGAATAAGATTGTTAAAATAGGTTATTCTTATTGTTATATTTACATGGATATTCTGTAGTGCTTCGAGTCTTTTGTCATAAATGAATGTTCATGATTGATTAACAAACTTAAGTTTGTGAAAACTGAGGGCAAATTTCATGTTTGAAATGTTATTTTGACTTTTTGGAAGTAGGAATTCTGCATGCATGGCCAATCATTATATGGATTCTGTGTTTTGTTGAGGCACAACTTCAATTGGGGATTCAAATTCTTATAACTTAATCACTATTATTCTAATACTTAAAGGTGGAAAGAAGTACGAGATCAAAGGTTGTCCTGTTAAAGGCGGGTTTGCTCAAGTATATAAAGCATATGTCAACAGTAATCCAGATGAAGTTGTTGCATTGAAGGTAAATAAACCCCCTCCCTTAGTAAGAGTTGCGGATTCCATGTCATAGTGGGCTATAATATTTGACCGAAATTGCAGATACAAAGGCCTCCTTTTCCTTGGGAGTTCCATATGTACCGTCAACTTGATCAACGGATCCCAGACAATCAAGTATGTGTTCTTTCTGTTCTCATGATTTCAGCATCTTTATTTTTAATTTTTTAACAATAACTGGTTCTTATTCTTCTTGCTGTAACTTTTCAGAGTTCAAGCTTCGGATATGCTCATAGATTGCATCTGTTCTCTGATTATAGTATACTTGTCTGTGACTATCTATCTCATGGGACGCTTCAGGTAGATTAATCTTATCCTCTATTTGTTTTCATACCAGGAAGATCTTGTGTGATACAATGCTTGCATGTGACATTTGCAGGATGTCATAAATTCTTATGTGGTCACTGGCAAGCCCATGGAAGAAGTGTTGTGTATCTATTACACCATAGAAATGCTACACATGCTGGAAACCTTGCATGGAGTTGGCATAATTCATGGGGACTTCAAGCCTGATAATCTGCTTATTCGCTATTCCAGGTGAAAATTGTTTTCACCATAAATTTGATTATTTTATGTCGTTCACATGGGTAGCTGTCTTGTAATTTCAAAAGCAAGATCATAAGCATAGCTTCATCAATGTCTTTTACAGATGGCATGGTTTGACATACAACATCTAGTGACATTAATAACCTGATATTTGGCAGGAGCAATCTTACAGAAGATGGGTTTAAAGAACGAAGTGGCCCTTGGAGAGATCAGGTTAATCTTACTTGTGATAGACTTGATGTGCAGCTTAATTGTTTATCTCGTATTTAAGAGTTTTCTCATGCAGGGTCTTTGCCTTGTTGACTGGGGGAGGGGGATAGACCTGCATCTCTTTCCTGATGATATAGAATTTGAGGGAGATTGTCGGACTTCTGGATTTCGTTGTGTTGAAATGCAAGAGAGGAAGCCATGGACATTTCAGGTCATTGTATTAAAGCACACAAAGTCCACTTGCTAGTTTTTAATTGGATTGGGTCCTCATTAGTATTGTCATTTTGAAATCAGGTTGACACATATGGCCTTTGTGTTGTAATTCATATGATGCTGCACCATTCTTACATGGAGATTGTAAAGAAAGGGACACCTGATGGTGGCTACATGTATCTGCCGAAGGCACCTTTTAAAAGGTATTTTTCATATCTGCATACTTAGAAGACTTCCGTGAACTGTGGCAAATTCCAATTTGTAACTTCACTATATTGTGAAACTGCAAAACTTTGAAAATTTATAGGAGTAAATTATTTTCCATCATAGATTTCTCTCTTTATTTTTCGCAAACCTTCTGCTCAAGATCCCATTCTATTTATATGCAGATACTGGAGCGATTTATGGAAGGATCTCTTCACAAAGCTGCTAAACAATAATTGCACAAATGACAGTGAGTTGTTGAGGAACTTGAGAAAGAGCTTTGAGGATAACTTGCTCTCTGATGATAAACTCCTAAGGAAACTGAAGGATTTGCTGGCTAAGCAAAGACTCCTTTTGTGTTCTGCTTAGTGCATTTTTTTAACCATTCCTCCAGATACATTTCTTACGTTTGTCTTGCAAATTGTTAAATTTATATGCAGAACAGCCAGACGCATGCTAGAAGGTGAATTCTTATTTGAAATAAAATCCCTACTGCGCCCTTCAACTCATTTGAACCTTCTGATTCATCATTTTATATTAACATTTTACCCTCTTATGAAGCAGTCAGTCAAATGTACAGAATCTTGGTGCTGGACAGCTGGAGCATTCTTTGCAGACATCAACTTGCTATGTTAAAAAGATTGTTTTTTCTTTCTTTCTCTCACTGATGATTAGGTAAAGGAATGTATTCGCATGTGCAATGAATTTTACAAGCTTGTACTCACAATTCTTGACTGAATGTAAATGCTGTTTTCTCTACAGCAAAATTTGTGAAGATATCTTTTAAATTCTTACATTCTTATATCATATTGCGTTTGGTTAGATTTCGGGATATAAATTGCAGATATAAAAGATACAGAAGTTGAAGCAGAGAAATAAAAATAATAATTTTGAAGTGAATTCTTTCGTGTGTTTTGAGAGAAACATATCTTGTCTATCCCAATATCACTACCTTATAAAATATAAATACATGTTGGCTACATGCCCTCTGTCTCACTTGGAAATGAATTAAGAATGCAGATGTTGGGATTTTGAGCTCAAACCGTTGAAGTTTTCTTTTAGGGTCTGAGTATTAGAAGATGAACTATCTAGTGTCAAATGGCGTTTCAACAAATACCGATTCCACGATCACATTGTTTTAAGATTTTCCTCTATTTCTTTTGATCAATGAAGCAAAACTTCCATGGTTGCCTGAGCAATTTTCCTTAATTTGCCCACAACATGACCCGTATGGCTGTCCAAAACTATGCCACATCGTAAGCATGGTGTTAAATCCAGCCCAAAACTTCCACGGTTGCATGAGCAATTTTCTTTAACTTGTGTTTTTTTTTTTGGATTAGTCCATGGATCAGATAAGCTTTCCTAGATATTTATTTTTTGGGTTGTTCAAACTATTATCCAGAGTTAATCATTCGAGGTTTTATCGGTTAAGATACAAATTTCTTCTAAAAAAATTTACGAACTTTAAACTATTTATTTAAGCAACCAGAGCCCTTCCTCTCATGCAAACCTTGTTGGTTCTGCTGGATATTAATGAAATTGAAATGATGGATGCAATATATTTTTGCTTAAATTTAGTATAAAATGATAACATAAAATCAAACTAAAATAAGAGAAGGAATATTTTTGAGGAAAAAAAAAAAGGATAAATCATTATTGGGCCTTTAGAAAACCCAACAAAACAATAAAGAAGTCCTAAAGCCCACAGAATATGAAACTCACGAAACTCAATTTGACTTCTCACCAATGGAGTCTTCGACACTGTTACAGTGACAGCGTCGGACTCGAATTTTGGGCTGTTTGACGCAGAGGCAAACCAAGGTCAAGATGGTAATTTAAGAGAAAAACCCTAGAAATTCTCTTAGGTATAAAGACCACATTAGTAAAACAGTTCTCCCTAGTATCAGGAGGAGGCAGTGACTGTCCTAACTCTCAAGGTTTTTTTTGTTTGGTTGCTGAGAAAATGGAAGAAACCATGAAGTGTTTGGCTTCTGTGTAGCTTTTTTGCTTGCACGTTTAGATTTGATGAATTTTGTTTGAGGTTGACTATGTACAATTGTTACTAACATTAGATTTGATGTTAAAAATGACACTCAAATTGTGCGTTTTAGTTGTTACTAACGTTGGATTATGTTGGAAATGAGATTGGTTTTCACATTCAAATTGTGGGTTTAAGTTGCTACTAACCTTGGATTATGCTAAAAATGAGGTGGGTTTCGACATTCGAATTGTGGGTTTTAGTTGTTGCTAACGTTGGATTATGTTAAAAATGACATGGGTTTTGCAATCAAATTGTAGGTCTTATGTGTTCTTAACGTGAGGTTACGTTAAAAATGGCATGGGTTTGTTGTCTTTGATTTGTGTTGTATGGTTTGTCCTTTTTGCTGCTTGGTGGGGGTGGTTGGTGGAAGTTAAGTTGGATTGTAATGATGATCATGGCATTTTGTTGGATTAGTATATGTTATCTAGTTATATTTGCTTATTGCAAAATTGTAGTTAGTACTTTTTTCTTGAAGCCTAATTGTGTAAACTGGTGGATTTTTCCTGACTTTCAGGTCACCATCTTGAGTTGTAAATATGGCGGATGAATCGTGGAATCCGTTGGTTTTCAGGAAGATACATGGACAGTCATCTCTCATTTCTAAGCTTTCCCCAAACTTGCACAGCAGGAATTATCACATGACTAGTGGTGCATTTTCTAATGGTTTTCATAGCCATATGCATCCTGCCATTCAGGGAACTGGTCTCGCATTTGTGCCACATGTTTCCCCGATATTTGTTGAAGCACCGTCCGAGAAAGGTGCTAAAGGATTTGTGATTGATTTTCTTATGGGAGGAGTATCAGCAGCTGTTTCAAAGACAGCAGCCGCTCCAATTGAGCGGGTTAAACTCTTGATTCAAAATCAAGATGAAATGATCAAGGCTGGTCGATTATCTGAACCATACAAGGGTATCACTGACTGCTTTGCTAGAACCATCAAAGATGAGGGTGTCCTTGCTCTTTGGAGAGGCAACACTGCTAATGTCATCAGATACTTCCCTACTCAGGTCATTTCACTTAATTTTTTTTTCTCCTTTTGTTATTTTTTAGTACATATGCTTGACTGTAGTATTGTTTATATCAATTGACACCTTTGTACACCTACCAGGCCCTGAACTTTGCATTCAAAGATTACTTCAAGAGTTTGTTTAACTTCAAGAAGGAAAAAGATGGCTATTGGAAGTGGTTTGCTGGGAATTTGGCATCAGGTGGAGCTGCTGGTGCTTCATCACTTCTATTTGTTTACTCCTTGGATTATGCCCGTACTCGTTTGGCTAATGATGCAAAGGCAGCTAAAAAGGGTGGCGAGAGGCAGTTTAATGGGTTGATTGATGTTTATAAGAAAACCCTCCAGTCTGATGGCATTGCTGGACTTTATCGTGGATTTAACATATCTTGTGTTGGAATTATTGTGTACCGTGGGCTCTACTTTGGAATGTATGATTCACTTAAACCTGTGGTTTTGGTTGGTAATTTGCAGGTATGTACTGTGTTTTCTTATTGCATCTCTGCCAATCTTTTTTCCCTGCTTTCAAGTTGTCCTTCTCCTGTTATGGTTCTACACTGCAAATATGTTGTTTTGACCTCAACCATCTTTGCTGGTGGAACTAAATGCAAGATGAAATGGACTCCTCATCTTATGGATTTATGTTCCTGTGTCCTAAGTATTGTATGTGTAAAATTGTGGTACTCCTTTTGATAAAATTAAGTCAAACTGAAATATCTTAATGTTTGAATGTGTGGCACAGTGGTGGTGCTGATTTTCCTCTACTATATGAAGTTTAACATGATCAAATGGTTAATGTTGGTTTGTTTGGTTTCTACAGGATAGTTTCTTCGCAAGTTTCTTACTGGGATGGGGTATCACAATAGGTGCTGGCTTGGCCTCTTACCCCATAGATACAGTCCGTAGAAGGATGATGATGACTTCAGGAGAAGCTGTGAAGTATAAGAGCTCTTTGGATGCATTTAAACAGATCATCAAGAATGAAGGGGGTAAATCACTCTTCAAGGGTGCTGGTGCAAACATCCTACGTGCTGTGGCAGGTGCTGGTGTGCTTGCTGGGTATGACAAGCTGCAGGTCATTGTCTTTGGCAAGAAATATGGATCTGGTGGCGGTGGCTAATATGATTGCTGATGCCAGTGGCCATGATGATGATGATGATAAAAGGAAAATGCTTCTGTTAGAGTGCCTTTCTCAACTTTGAATAATTTTTCAAGAAATGATAGTGCTCTTGATGTTTGCCGGTACTTGGGATTTCATAAAAACAAATTTCTGGACATCTTCAATTTTGAGTGTTGTAACTAGCACAGCATAAACGATGTTAGTTTGTATGTGTCATGATGAGAATAGTTAGATAATATTCTCTGTAGTGTGCTTGTTTTGGAGTGGTTGTGTCCTGTGGAAATCTATGATGTTTCGTCCCTTGTTTATTGAAAAATTATTCAAAGGATGATCGGTGCCAGCTTCAATGCCAGTACTGCAGATTTTGTCATACTTCCCCGGCATCTTCAATATCACTGATCTTGATTATGCTGGCCAGCAAGACGTTCCAAAAACTTGGAAGTGTACAGTGCTCAATTTAATGGAAAAGAATTTCAGTATATTGCTACGTGGTGCTGGACTCATCTAAGATGCAGTTACAGCAGAAATTGATGTGAACTTTTCCATTTGTTAGAAGACTTGAAGTTCATGCCATAGAGTAGTCGAATTCTGCACTTCTTTCTTTGCGTTTTTGGCAGGGTATAGGTTTGTCACTCTTATTTCCAGGAGTTAATGCATTGGATCATGCACAATTATCAAGCTTTCAGCACCATCTGCATTTGTGCTACCGTTGCCCTCATTCTTGAGAGATGAAATCTAGCTTGGACCAGGAGCTAGAGGTATAGGCAAATCTCATTTCATGTGTTTTTTTGTTCTATTTGTAAAGGGTATTCTTGAATCAGTTTAAGCATTAATTAAAAATTCACGATTATTTTATTAAAAGATTTTAACAATATAACTTCCATGTCGGTTTGATATATTCATATAATTTAATAAATTATTCTAGATACCAGTCTCAAGATTTGCTTTCTGAATTTAGAAAGTCAACAATGGAGGCAAATGTTTTATTAATTATCAAGTAAAACTCCTTGTGGTTCTTGCATCTTGTAATAGATGCAAGATTTGTGCAAAACGCGGAGCACAACTTCAATGTGTTAATACGAAGCTATTGTAATTGACTCATCTCTTGCTACTCCATCAGATGGAGGTTCTTTCTCATGGAAGCTGGAATCATTTCTGTATCTTGGAAGTATGATAATATGCTGCCATGAATTTTTTAGGATTTACCCCTTTGGCTCAAGAGTCATGTCAGGTAATTAATCCCTTAAGTTCGAAGAAATTCTCCTCTTTTTCTTAGGGTAGCTGAGGCTGTCTTTCTCCAGCTCCACTTGAAACAACTGCGAAAACTACATCATGGAAGGAGGCTAGTCTTTATCGTGCGCATCGTCCTCTCTATACCCCCATTTTTCCAAATTCATAGTCTGAAACTAATCTCCATGTTATTTCCTAACATGAGATGTGCCTGTCATCTTCTATTTTTTGTCTCACTCCAAGCCTCCAAAGGACAGCATAAACTGCAGGGATCGAGACATGATGTTTGGTACACTTTGAAATCTTCATGCTTATCTAGAAATGGCCATGTTTTAAGATCAAATGTTATGGTTAACTGTCACTGTACCAGGTCATTCTGACATTTTCTTCAGATGCTATCATCAGCAAAGAAATCAATGTCTTCCATTGGGCATGAACAGCATGATTAAACACAAGACTGAAAGAAGCGTTTGACATGGAAAGGACTCCTTACATAAACAGCCAAGATTACTACCTTAAACCCACGAAAATCAAATGGCTTCGTCTCTGTTTTGTTCTATCACAATTCGTTCTTTACTTGTCTTGCTCTTACACCTTTCTTCCTTGTCTAACTATCTAGCTGCAAAGCATAACCAACATGGCTATCACCGCCACCGCTCACACAACCATTCTCCAACTTCAAACCAAAGGCTCCACCAAGCTTATATTGCTCTCCAGGCATGGAGAAGGGTTATCTACTCTGATCCAAACAACTTCACTACCAATTGGGTTGGTCCTGATGTATGTAGCTATAAAGGAATATACTGTGCAACTGCTATTGATGATCCCAAAATTAGAGTTGTCGCAGGCATTGACCTCAACTTTGCTGATATAGCAGGTTTCCTTCCCAATGAATTAGGTCTCCTCTCTGACTTAGCACTCATCCATTTGAATAGCAACAGGCTTTGTGGGATTATCCCACAAACTCTAACCAACCTTTCACTTCTATATGAGCTTGATGTCAGCAACAACAGATTTGTAGGCCCTTTCCCTTCTGTTGTGCTCTCTCTTCCTATGCTAACCTATCTTGACATTCGCTACAATGAGTTTGAAGGGCCATTACCTCCTCAGCTTTTCCAGAAAAAGATTGATGCGATATTCATTAATAACAATCGATTCACTAGTGCAGTTCCCGCTTTCTTAGGTGGAACTTCAGCTTCTGTGGTGGTCATCGCCAACAATAACTTCAAAGGCTGCCTGCCGCCGAGTATAGCCAACTTGGCAGATACTTTAGAAGAGTTGCTGCTTATCAACACAAACTTGACAGGTTGTTTGCCACCAGAAGTTGGGTATCTCTACAAACTGAGGGTGTTGGATGTAAGCCAGAACAAGATAGTTGGTCCTATACCTTATAGCCTATCAGGATTAGCTCATTTGGAGCAGCTAAATTTAGCACACAATCTGATGACCGGGATTGTACCTCAGGGAGTTTGTATACTGCCAAATTTAGCTAATTTTACCTTCTCTTACAACTTCTTTTGTGAGGAAGAGGGAACTTGCATGAATCTTACATCTAAAGGCATCAAGTATGACGATCGCCGTAATTGTTTGCCAGAGAAGCCACTCCAGAGAAGTCAGAAAGAATGCAACGATACACTCGAGCATCCAGTTGACTGCTTTCAGGAATGCTGTGTAGCCAGTGAAGGAGGCGTTGCTTTTGGTAGGGCTACTCCTTTCGCTCCTGCACTTGTGCCTGCCGCAACCCCTCTGCTGTCACCTTCTCTTGCTCCTAGCTTCCCATGAGTAGTCTTGCACGATAGTAACAATAAAACCAAAATAAGATCCAAAATTTGGCCTGTAGTTACATGTGAATCTTCTTTCTTTTTTTCTTCTTTTTTCCTGTAACAGAAGTTGTATTTGAATTTTGTACATGTATATAATCCTTGAAAAAATTTTATGTTACCCAACCCACAAACAACAGGACCTTGAAAACTAGAAGCTTTCACTGGCTTCTGTGTTCGATATGATCCATCATCAATATTTCAAAACCCCTACTCGATTACCAAACACGCATATCCACCTTAATAAACTGATGCATAACTGGGAAAAAAAAAAAACCTTTTTCAAGGGAAATCCGTCACATTGCCTTCCTCGTTGCCAATTTCATATAAACGCTACAAAGGTTAATTTATTTGCAAGAAAAACAAAAATGTTCCGTGCCAATAATAAAATTGAAAATAATTTGCATTAGCAAAGCTTTCAAGTAATAATACATTATACAGTTAATACAAGTTGTGTCAAATACAAAGTGAGTAGCATCAGTTAAAGTTCGACATTGCTTTTGCCTCTATATCAGGTATCTTCTGAAGCTGTACCCATGCAAAATATGGGTTTCTCCCAACCTGAAAGAAAACAGACATAGTAATAAACTACAAAAGATGTATCAAAAACAATATCCAAAATACACCTCAATCATAAATTCAGGAAAAATGGAATGATGCAATAAGGAATCGTAAATATTCAGTAAATGCAAGTTTTCACATCAGCTCACCAGAATTAACAAGTTGGGCATTGTCAATCAACCCCTTAAGTAATATAAACAAGTGTACTAATCTCCCTATGCTGGTGGTAGTGGACGCCGGCAAGTTGGGCATTCCATCTTGATATCCATCCACCTTTGTAGACAACCGGAATGAAAGAAGTGATCACATGGAGTTACCTGTCAAAGATTTTGCAATTTAAAGTGCGACTTAGGTGCAAACTAAGCAAAAGAAAGGGTGGAGGAAAAAACACAGATTCCTGATGGTATACCATGCAATCATTAGAATGCCGCGTGAGGTCAATTGCAGTCATGCAAATGACACAGTCTGTAGCGTGATTTGATTCCTGATCAAACCTTCTATAGTAGAAATATTTCTCAGGTAGGATCTGCAATAAGCATAGCAAAGTGATATTTTCAATGAAAGCAGTCACAGCATGCTTTAGGTGAAATCAAACATATATCATATTCATGCCATCATCAATCACTAGCCCTTGCTTGGTAAAGTTTCACATGGCTTGTTCACCCAAGGTTGTTACTCTCTCAACTTGGCATAGCGTTCAGTGTGTCACGAGTTTTTGGAAACCGAGGAAAGAAAAGAATGATATGGGAGGGGAAAACTAGAGAAACAATTGCACCAACCTGGCGAGGAATGAACCATCGAGACCCAAGATAGTGCTGAAGAAGAAGAATTGACGCTTGCAGTCCAATGAATACACCCAAATATAAACACCATGTCTTGTCAGGCTCAGTCCTCATAAAGTTGTTAGGGCATCCAAATATATACAATGGGATTGCTAGACGAGTAACAGTCATGCCTAAGATGTAATGGGGATGCAAAGGTTTTCTCGAGTCACGAATGACATTGGTGAATATTTGAGGTATCCAAAAAGAGTACATTAAGAAAAGAATGGATCGAAGATAATTATGGAACTCGTACATAACTAGAATGCCTCCCAAAAGGATCCCATCTGCAAATAATTATAGCAGTAGGATCAAGTTATACCAGACACAGGGACGAGGAATTTTATATTGTACAGCAAGTAATTGAATCTGTAAAACAACAGCCGATGATCACAAGCATGCTGCAAAGTATTCAGGAGATTGCGAGATGCATATGTTGAACATGTCAAATTGGTTACTCATTCAATGGGGTGACTGAAAGCAAGAGTCATAGACTAGAGTGTCTAATCAATACCAGATCATTCAATGAATTCTAGTGATAGAATTTCCCACATATGTATTGATTTCCAAAAGGGCACTTACAGAAATGACTATATAGAACTGATAGTTCACGCCTCATTGTCGCCCAACCTTCACCACTATTCATATGCCTGCTTGCCTTCCATATAGCAAGAAGATATCTCATCTCAAAAATTGAGAAGATTACAAACTTGAAAAATGCAGCAGTTGCAAAAGCATTAAACAAGGATTCTGCACAGGAAAGAGCAAAACAGAGACAGAAAATGACCCAGTGCTTAGCATAATGTGCAGTAGGAGCAAATTTCACGGTGAAAAAGTGAGAATAGAGTTACACTGATTCAGTATGACAAGCATATTCAGAAAAAAAAAAAAAAGGCACAATTAATGCGCAACAAGACATAAAAATGGCACACATACTAATTAAGAGAAGTAAAAAGTAAAAACCACTTTGTATATATTGAGTAACATAGGTCAGGTCAATGGTTGTGACTGTTTTCAAATGACATCTACTAGGATACCTTAATTTTGAAATTAGAAAAGTTGGTGAACTATCAGAAATGAGCACATAAATTTGGCAGTTCTCGTAACACTCAAGAGTTCTGATGGTTTTCCAATGGGTTCCACGCCAAGCTTTCATCCAATTCTATTCTTGCAAATGAACAAAACATTCCCATTGATTCTTGCTACATGATAGCATTAAAATATGTGCACATCACCAGACAAATGGAATCCTTTCAAATTCCTAACCATGCCTTTTCCTTAACAGATCTATTTTTCAAATAATTGCATAAGTTGACTGCAAAACTAAACATACAAAATCCATTGCATCTGGAAGCAAAACCAATCTAGTAAACTGCATAAGCTGGAAATTGCACTTACCAACTAGTATTCCTGCAGTTAGGTGTAGAAGGCAAAGATAAGCATCCATGATGGCTTGCTGCCCGATCATTAAAATTGAAACTTTGGCAGCCCCCTGATAGAGGTAAATCAGAACCATTCTCAACTTATTTGAAACCATAAAGTTTCAAGAATAAAATTGATTGTAACAAATGTATAAAGTAAAATGCCGTACTGATTGAGTGTTACTATGTTCCATTTGCCGAATCAGCAAAAGAACCTGAAGGAATGAGACCTGATGCAAAATGTTAAGGAAGCCACCCAAATAATGGAACATATGAATCACAAGAGTGACGATATATCACATATAAAGGATACAAAGGTGACCATCAAGGTATAGTTCACTGCTTTGTTATAGTAGACCTCAATGTTCACAGAAGTAGCATTTAGTAGTAAAGGTGAGAAGCAATCCCCTTCATCGTCTGCAGCAGGACTCTCCATTAATCCTTCAATATGGAAACGATCACGGTCTCCATCTACAAGAAAGGTCAGAGATTTTAGTTAGTTAATAAGATGGGCATATAATTTTTTTTGTAAGACGTTATCCAAGATTTTGTAATATCGAGTAGGAAGGTTGAAACCAGACACAAAACTGCTCCTAACACCATGAATATGACCAGTCATTTAGATTGGATGTTGTCAATGCTTCATGGAGTAGAATATGTAAAATTTCTTCTCCCCTAACTAAAAAATGAGAATGATTTGTACAAGGCACTGTTTCCAGATTATTAAGAAATGTCCTTGAGATTCTACAATATCAACACCAACCTCTACACATAAAGGAAATAATTCATAGGTATTTGGACTAATGTAATCATGTTAACAATATATAATCTGATTGGAACCTCCTTTGTTTGTGGTTTCCAATTCAATAATAAGAGTTTATACTATACTTGTTTGATATACCATTAGTGGAACCTCTAACCTTGACATGTGTTATTATTATTGTTTAATCCTTAAATTAATTTTCCATCTCCAAGTTCTCATCATCTTCTTCTTCTTCTCCTTCTTTATTATTATTATTATTA